AATCTCCCCAGATCTATCCAACGACTGTGAAGATTCTTAACTAACACGAGTCTCATAAGTATCCAGTTTAAGGGTATTGCACAGAAACACACCACAATGATATGAATCAATTATGTACTTTATTCATTTACAATAAATGTCAAAAAGGTACATCAATCTGATTGGAGCTAAAGGACATAACTGTCTAACAGGTGGAGACCATAAGGAGCTTGTAGTAGACTTATGATGGTCTGAACAAGCCACTTCCTTCTAGTTTTTCATAAAACCACCTGATGAGAAATCAACAAAGATCTTCAAAGATTTTACCCATTGAATCACTCTAATCATGTCATTTTCCATTATTGCCTCTCTGATTCTTTCCTTATTTGAAAAAAATTCTTGAATTCTTTTCTTCCCATATGGTCCATCTCAAAGAAGCCTAAGCTTTTCCACATTATTCGTCCTCTTTTGTTTGGCCAACTAAAGAAAGTAGAGGCAAACAAGCTTTGCACATTAGGCAGGGGAGTCCACCTACACCCAAACAACAAGAAAAATCATTCCCAAATATAGATTACATAGGGGCAAGAGATTAATAAATGAAAGCAAGTTTCTCCATTAGCCTTGCACAGAACACACCAGTGTGGGGATAAGCACCAATTTGGTCATTTTCTTTGGAATAGATCACACGTATTTATTCTTTACAGGAAGACTTCCTAATAGAAACTTCCAATCCTTGGAGGGATAGGTTTACTCCAAACCTCCTTTACTGGGTACAAATGACCCAGACTATCAAAGGGTTGAATTAATGCCTTGAAGAATGAGGCACAGGAAAAGGTAACCGTGGAGGTTTGGAGTAAACCCGCGGAGTAAACCTTGGAGGGATAGTTTTACTCTGATCCTCCAATTCCCACATTAGTGGAGGAGTGATAGTTCGGGGCATCCTTTGAGGTAATTATTAGATTATGATCTTCAACGTATTTAGAAATATTATGTTCCTTTAGAAATGATCCAGACTATCAATTGATGACACTGACTTGAGATGTTCCTTTTATATTATTAGATTATGATTTTCAACATATTTAGAAATATTTCCCTGTATTTGAATCTTTTAGGATTGTCTCTTTGGCTTTGTTGGCTTTTATTAATTCTTTCCAAATAAGAGTAGGTAAGAGAGCTTTAGTAGGTTTCTTATATTGTATTTGGATTTTATTAAGATATTATGTTCCTTTTATTTTTTTTTTCTGTTAAGTAACAGATATCTTGTATGAATTAAAGTAAAGATATTATTATGCTGCTTGGTGCCCAAACCATCAAGTTGGGGTGATGCACTGGTGTTTGAGTTTTGGATTAGCAACTTGAGAGTGAAAATTAACTCAACCTGTGTTTTATATTTTTTAGAAGCATGTCCTAATCCTAATGGAATTAGTCAACTCCCCACCCTCCAAATGTAAATATGTGCTTCTGCCAATATATACACTTCAATTAGCAAGTTAACATACATGCACTTATATCTATCTGTTCTGTTTTAATCTTCTGGTCACTATTTCCTGATATTTACTGATCTTTGCTTGTCCATTTCTTTCTATCTTTGTATGCATGAGCATATGTCTCAGCTTTGATAGTTCAGATATTGATTGCATCCAAAGTAATGCAGACTACCCAAGATATCTAGAGAATTGGAAGTTACATTCAGATGGGTGAAAAGAACTGCAAATGGATTAGCTGACACCCTAGCACAGCAAAGGTTTACAGGAAACTGCTCTTTTAGGCAGAACTGTAGTATGGGCTAAATACAAGAGTCCAGATCTCCTGAAAGAAAAAAATCGTGCACATACCCTGAGTGCACAGCATTCAGCTGCACATTGGGAGTACCTCCAATACTTGTATGTTAAATTCATGGGGATATATTCTCGATGTACGGATGGATGCCATGCTCTTAGGGCATGTGCATGATTTTTGCTTTCAGGAGGTTCCGTCTCTAAATACAAAATGAATGGGATGCTGGATTGATGTCCAGAATCAATTCTAATGATTTTATTTCTCATTTAATGAAAGAAAATTCCATTGCTGATAAGATTATGGCCAAAGTGGTTTCCTTGAGGTTAAAAGTAGCTTTGCCTTCTCTAATAACTCAATCGCAAGGGGCTTTCATCCAAGGTAGACAAATCACTGATCAAGTCCTAATAGCTAATGAATGTGTGGAGGATTCCAGGAGAAGGGGAAAGAAAGGCTTTGTTCGTAAATTAGATCAGGAGAAGGCTTACGATTTACTAGATTGGTCATTCTTGATGGAAACCTTGAGGAATTTTGGTTTCGGATATAGGTGGTGTGGTTGGATTGAAGGTTGTTTGACAAATGTTCATTACTCAGTGCTGGTTAATGGAGTGATTAGAGATTTCTTTCCAGCTACTAGAGGACTCAGACAAGGTGATCCCCTCTCTCCCTTCCTTTTTATCTTGATAATAAATGTTTTCAATAGACTTATCTTGAGAGAGGATAGGTTGAATTTGATTAGAGGATGGAGGATTGGAAGAGAGGTTGTCATTGTTACACATCTACAATTTGCAGATGACACTATCCTCTTTTGTGAGTTTGGGGACCCTCGGTTAGCAAGTAAGTTGAAAGGTTAAAGCTGTTTGAGGTTTTGTCAAAGTTAAAAATCAACCTTCAAAAGAGTTGTGTAGTGGGGCTGAATTTGGAGGAGGAATTGGGTGAGATAGCTGAGGCGTTAGGTTGTTTGACATCTAGTTGGTCTTTGAGATATTTGGGTTTACCTTTAGGAGCCAACCCTAGGGAGGGAAGTTTTTTGAACCAGTGATGGAAAGTTGTTCTAGGAAATTGGCGGTCTGGAAGAGAAATTATGTGTCCCTTGGGGTCGAATCACTTTAATCCAATCCACCCTAGTTAATCTCCCGGTTTACTATCCTTTTGTTTTTAGGATGCCACAAAGGGAGGTGGTGAAAGTAGAAAAGATGATGAAAGACTTCTTGTGGAAGCCCGAAGAAGGAAGGAAGGATCATTTGGTTATATGGGAATTAGTATGCAAGAGAAAGGAGCAAGGGGGTCTGGAATTGGGTAACCTAGGGAAGAAAAACTCAGCCCTATTGAGAAATGGCTTTGGAGATGGCCTTTGGAAAGGGAAAGACTTTGGTGTAAAGTTGTAGGAAGTATACATGGGGCAGAAGGCAATGGTTGGGATGCTGGCATTTCTCGAAGGGCTATGTTGAATTCTCCTTGGAAGGCAATCTATGGCATTCTTCCCCATTTCTTAAACTTAATCAGGTATGACATTTGTGCCAGGGATAGGGTTATTTTATGGGAGGATATATGGATAAGTAACTCAACCCTCAAGGACCTTTTTCCTTCCTTGTATTTCCTCTCTTGCTTTAAAAGTGAACCAGCTCAAAGGTTTGTCCCATTTTTTTTGTCTTCTGGATTCAGCTGGGATTTGGGTTTCAGGAGAGATTTGAGAGATTTTGAGCTTGACCAGACCGCTCAGTTACTTAGTTTGCTTGATCCTATTTGCTTGGACCCTTCTAAACCAAATGCACGTATTTGGTCCCCTAACTCTTTGGGTACCTTCTCTTGTACCTCATTCTTCTCCTCCTTGTGCTTTGACCTTAGCTCTCAGTCTTTCCCATGCAAAGAGATTTGGTCTAAACCCATTCCTTCTAAAGTGGGAGCTCTCTGTTGGGACTATGGAGGTCTCTTTTGAGAAACTAAACACTTTGGACAACCTGCAAAAGAGAAGACCTTGTCTTTGTATATCCCCCAATTGGTGTGTCCTTTGCAAAGTAAATGGAGAAAGTTGTTACCATCTAATAATATCCTGTCCTTTGGTGTAGGTCTCTAGGAAAAGCTTTTTAGTCTCTTTGGGTCCAGGTGGACATTGCTGTTGCAGATTAGCAATCTATTTGAAACTACAACCTTTAGGTGGCCTACGAAAAGAGGTAGGGTGATGTGGAGGTGTGTTAGAGTTGCACTGGTTTGGACTGTTTGGGAGCAAAGGAATTCAAGAATTTTTTATGAGAAGGAAAAGAATGAGGTGGACATTGCTGTTGCAGATTAGCAATCTATTTGAAACTACAACCTTTAGGTGGCCTACGAAAAGAGGTAGGGTGATGTGGAGGTGTGTTAGAGTTGCACTGGTTTGGACTGTTTGGGAGCAAAGGAATTCAAGAATTTTTTATGAGAAGGAAAAGAATGAGGTCAATGTTTGGGAGTGCTTACTTAATAGAGCCATCAACTGGGTGAAGACTTTGGAATTCTTTTCTCCTTTTTCTTTTGATGACTTATGGAGAAATTGGGAAGCAATTGCCAAAAGTTCTAGTGTGAAAAGCAAGCTGTTAGTAGAATGGAAATCTCTTGAGTAGGGTATCATTCAGCTCAACTTTGATAGTAGCAGCCTAGACAATCCAGGATCCTCCAGTATTGGGGGAGTGTTTAGAAATGCAGAGGGGCTCATCATCGCTCTTTTTTCTAGCCCTATAGAAGTAGAGAATTCAGTTAATGCATAAATTCAGGCAGTGTTACAAGGAAACAGCAGATCTGCAAATGGGTTAGCAGATCCAGTGGTTAAAAGAGCCAGAAACAGAAGCCTGGTCCTATAAAGGGTTTTTTCAAAGATTCAGATGGCTAACTACAAACATGTCTGTCCATTTCCAATGGGAAAGAAGATCTGCAAATGGGTTAGCAGACTCACTAGCTAAACAAGGAGTGCATAGGACTCATGTTTTTGGCTCAGCTGTAATTCTCTGTTCTGATTTGAGGCTGTATCTCACACCTCTTTTTAGGAACCTTATCTGTGTATTTCTATTAACAAAACTTCTCGTTATTCATCAAAAAATAAAAAGAACAAAGGAGTATAAAGTGTAACCCAAACTGCTAGATGTTCTATGGGAAAACCCTAGTCCTCTTTGTATGCACACATGTTTTCCATGTTTTCTCTCAATTTATCTTCATATTGGCTTGCTAATATTTGAAACAAAAATCTGATCATTGAGATTATCTTTGTTTCAAAGGAAATAGGAGAAAGAGAAGGAAAGTACTATGCTATAAATGTCCCACTGAAGGATGGAATAGATGATTCAAGCTTCACTCGACTCTTTAAAACAGTAAGTTGTGATTCAGAACATCTTAGCTATGGGTTAATACATGATTTTAGTTCAGTATTTGTGGAATAGTTATGGTCTTTTCCTTACAATACTTCAATTATGTAGATTATTGCCAAGGTTGTTGAAACATATCTACCAGGTGTTATTGTTCTTCAATGTGGAGCTGATTCACTTGCTGGAGACCGCTTAGGCTGCTTCAATCTCTCCATTGATGGTGCTATTCTCCTTGTAATTTGTTCTCTTTGTTGCCATAGCCTTTAGATAATATGTCTAATTTGTGCTGTAACTGTTGAAATTCTTCTTTTTAAGTTTTTGATATTAACATGATGGTGCCATCCTTATATTTCTGCAGGGCATTCTGAATGTGTAAGGTTCGTTAAGAAATTTAATTTGCCTTTATTGGTAAGTTTGTGCTTTGTACAACTCCCTTGTTACTATTCAGATGTGTGTTCCATTGGGAATAAAGAGTAGAACTTTCTTATTTCAGGTTACTGGAGGTGGAGGGTACACAAAAGAGAATGTGGCTCGTTGCTGGGCTGTTGAAACTGGTGCTCTTTTAGATACAGAGCTTCCTAATGGTATGATAACATTACTATATTTAATTTGTCTTCTAATCTGGATGGTGTTCCAATGATTTTTTTTTTCATTTATGTAGAGAACACTGATGTGGGCCCCACAGCTGTGGTCCCCACTGTGTTCGTAGGACAGTATGTGTAATTATTTGTTTCAGTCATGTTAGTGTTAGTTGGTGGTCAGTTTGTTATTTCAGTTATTTATTTGCTTTATTTGTCATGTAAGTACTAAGGGCAGATCTGTCCTTTTCCCCTATGTACTGAACATAACCTATAAATACTAAGAGAGTGGCGGYRGCAGATCWATYAGAATCTGTCCCTTCTTTCAAACCTTTGTGTTCTCCAGTTCTTCTTCTCCTCTCTTTTCTTTCTTTCTCTTACTTTTCTTCTACTTTTTCTAATCTGAAATCTATTAGAGTTCAAGGCTGATTGTAGTCTTGATCGCCTACTTGGTATCAGAACCTATSTAGGGTTTCTCATGTGAGTCTAGTCCAGCTGATCACATGAGAACTATCTAGGGCTGGAAGTTTATGAAGAAGTGTTCATTGGCTGATTCTTGGAGGTTACCAGAAGAGTTTAGCAGCTGTTGAAGACTTGCAACGGCTTGCAGAGTGTTGGTAATCAGGAAGAATCAGAGAAGGCTAGGGTTCAGGTAACCTTGGAAGGTAGCGAACAACATTCTCTGGGTAAGTCTTATTTATTTTCTAGAGATTGCTACCAGTAAAGATAGGTTGGACTTATCTAGAAGGAGCGGCCGAACTGTTTTAGGGTTTTCTCTCTATTCTAGGGTTTGACATTAACCTTGCGGCAAACCTAATTGTTGGGCCGAACTCTTTTATCTTCTTGGAAAGTGCTTGTTTTAGGGTTTTCTCTCARAGGTGATCARTTTYAGGGTTTCACATTGACCCTACGACAAGACCTAACTGTACGGACTGCTTGGAAAGTGCGGCTGAGCACTTATTTCAGACCTACGATTAAAACCCTAATTCTGTTCCAGCATCTCAGGTTGCTCTCTAAGCTGGTTTCAGACCTATTTTTTGGTTTCGAGCTCTTTTAGGGGGTGAAAAACTTGTACGGACTGCTTGGTACTGTGATTGCCGATTGGTTTTAGATCAGATTTACACTGGTTTCATGCATATACTGTGATTGCCGATTGGTTTCAGATCAGATCTGCACTAATTTCATGCATATACCATGATTACAGATTGGTTTCAGATCAGACCTGCATTGATTCCATACTGATTTCTGATTGTGATCGACTGTCCAAGTGCTGTTTTCTGTTGTAGTAACCCTAACAGTTCGTAACTACTGATTCTTGACCAAAAATGGAGTTTAAAAATCAGGGAGAAGGTAGTTTTGGGAACAACATTTATGGTAGTATATCTGAAACTGGGTTTCAGATTACAACTGTGAGATTTGATGGGTCAAACTACTTGGAATGGGCCCAATCAGCCATGATGGCTATTGGGGGAAGGGGAAAACTAGGCTACCTCTTGGGAGATTTGAAAGAACCTTCCAAGGAGGACCCAATGCATACCAAGTGGGTTCAAGAGAACTACTTGGTTATGACATGGCTGTGTAATTCTATGCAGCCACATATCA